CCTGGTCTGCTAGCTAGAGACGGCATCCATCCCACTTTGGACGGTGCAGCTCTATTATCTAGAAACATAGCAGAGGTTATTAGTCCAAAACCTTGACAACAACACAGAGTTCAGACCAGGAGGCAGAGCTGCAGTCTTACACGCTTCTCGGCGCCTCCCTTAGATCTGTCTCCCAGTCACTATAGCTGTAATTCTGAATCGAACTGTAGTTATACTATAGGTACTGTGTCTGTCCCCCGGTCCAGACCCGTTTTTATAAGTCATCCAAACGTAGAAAAAAAAGGCGTGAATCGCATTAGAATCAAAACTACGAATACGATTTTGCAAAAAAATCAGAAAATTCACTGCAGATTTTTGAACATTAGATCCTTAGCATCCAAATCTCTTTTCGTGAATGATCTGATATCAGATCAGCATATTGATTTACTTTGTTTGACTGAAACCTGGCTGTGTCGAGATGACTATGTTAGTTTAAATGAATCCACTCCTCCCAGTCATTTTAGTACTCATATACCTCAAGACACCGGACGAGGTGGTGGAGTGGCAGCTATTTTTAATTCTAGTCTTCTAGTTAACCCTTTCACATCCAGTCTCAAGAACCTTTCAGCCAGTTCTAGTTGTTGTAGTTTACCGCCCTCCTGGCCCATATTCTGAATTTCTAACTGAATTTGCAGAATTTTTATCAAATTTAGTCCTTAGCAGTGATAGAATAATTGTTGTAGGTGACTTCAATATCTTTGTGGATGTTGATAATGATAGCCTTAGCACAGCTTTCATGTCATTATTAGACTCTATTGGTTTCACCCAGGGTGTAAACGAACCTACTCATCGTTTTATCCACACCCTGGATCTTGTTTTAGCTTATGGCATTGAAATCCAAAACCTTACAGTTTTCCTAGAAAATCCTCTTCTATCAGACCATTTCCTTATTACTTTCGACTTTGTCCTACCAGAATTATCTCTGCTTAATAAAAATGTGCTCTCTAGAAGTTTATCTGATAGTGCTGTAGCTAGAAGTTGGTTTGAATCCTACTTATCAGACCGATCTCAGTTTGTACATGTTAATGATAAGTCCTCTATGCACACCAAAGTTAGCAATGGAGTGCCACAAGGTTCAGTGCTTGGACCAATTCTCTTTACATTATATATGCTTCCTCTGGGAAATATTATGAGGAAACACTCCATACAGTTTCATTGTTATGCAGATGATACTCAGCTTTATGTATCAATGAAGCCCGATGGCACCAGTCAGTTATGTAAGCTAGAAACGTGCCTTAAGGACGTTAGGACCTGGATGACCAGAAATGTTTTGCTCCTTAACTCAGACAAGACTGAAGTTATTGTGCTAGGCCCTAAAAACCTCAGAGAGACTTTTTCTAGTGATGTGACTGTCCTTAGTGACATCAGCCTGGCATCTAGCACCACTGTTAGGAATCTAGGAGTTCTATTTGATCAAGATATGTCCTTTAGCTCTCAAATCAGGCAAATTTCAAGAACAGCCTATTTTCACCTTCGTAATATAGCCAAGATCAGGAATATCCTGTCGCAAAATGATGCAGAAAAACTAGTTCATGCATTTGTTACCTCCAGATTGGTTTATTGTAACTCTCTTTTGTCAGGGTGCTCTGGCAAATCTCTAAAGACTCTTCAACTGGTCCAGAACGCTGCAGCTCGTGTACTGACTAGAACTAGGAAAAGGGACCACATTACTCCTGTGTTGGCTTCTCTGCACTGGCTCCCTATACAGTCTAGAATAGAATTCAAGATCCTTCTTCTCACTTACAAAGCTCTAAATGGCCAGGCACCATCTTATCTTAAGGAGCTACTAGTGCCGTACTGCCCCTCAAGAACATTACGGTCCCAGAATGCAGGCCTGCTAGTGGTACCTACAGTCTCTAAGTGTACTATGGGAGGTAAAGCCTTCAGTTATCGGGCTCCTCTCCTCTGGAATCGTCTTCCAGCCAGGGTCCGGGAGGCAGACACAGTCTGTATTTTTAAGAATAGACTTAAAACTTTCCTTTTTGATAAATGTTATAGTTAGGGCTGGTGTAGATCAGCTCTTAGTTATGCTGCTATAGGCTTAGACTACCGGGGGAACTGGCACCTCGAGATCGTTGGTTGACGGCCTGCCAGAACAACCCCCCTCCCCCCTCCCCACCGGATTGTTGATGGGCGGCTTGCCTCCCCCCACCCCCTTGCTCCCTATCCCTCTTCCTGCATCTTATCCCATCTCTCCCCCTATCCCCTTCCAAGCCCGGTGCAGTCTAGGCCTGTGAAGGCTGTTTCGTCATGAGCCGGGGATCCGGCCGAAGATTTCTGCCTTTTAATAAGGCAGTTTTTTCTTACCACTGTAACTTTTGCTGCTTTGCTAAAGTGCTCATGATGGATAGGACGGGTCTTTGTAATATAGCATAAGTAAGGTCTTTTACCTGCTTTTTGTAACATAACAATGAGTAAGGTCTTTTTACCTGCTCTTTTGTAATGTTAAAAGACAAAGAGTAAGGTATTTTACCTGCTTTTTGTAAAGTGTCTCGAGATAACACTTGTTATGAGTTGACGCTATACAAATAAAAATTGATAGATTGATTGAAATTGATTTCCGAGAACCGTGCTGAGCGACTGACCAATTACGGCTGAGCCAACAGGCCGACCAATCAGATCAGACTTACACACGTGGGGACTCTGAACGTGGGCACTTCAGAGCCTTAGAGAGTCAGAAGGGAGCCGGTGCATGGAGCGGCAGTACAGAACTTTAGCTATTGTGAACATACTTTAGTAGGTACATAGATTAAATATATGAACCCCAAAAAGGGCATAATATGGGCTCTTTAACCAACACAAAGGAAACCTGATCAAATTATTTAACAATATCATGGTCAGCCTGTAATTAAAAACTGAGAGGACCCAGGAATGAACCCTGTGGAACACCTCAAGAAATGTCAGCCTCCGAAGAACAAAAGAAAGAGAGAAGAGAAGAGAGAAGAACATTTCTGAATTGAGAAACATCAAACTTTCATCATGACATATCATAGAAGTTTGTCAGTGTGTGACTCCCTCTAGTGGATGTTGTGGAGTATTGTCTGTCTTCTTTCCAGACGTTTTTGTCGATACCAGAAGAAATAATCACCAGTTGACAGTTCAGAGTGCCTTCTAACTGGAGTGAGCTCTCATAACTGAAATCTAAAAAGAAAGAGAAATTATACAGAATTGTATGTTATTGAAATTCAACTCTTAATGCAACACAATCCATCACACCCAAAAATCTATTGTTTTCATTCAACTTCTTTAAACATTATTTCCTAAACACCCACATTTTCCTTTACATACATACCCTCTTGTGGATGTTGTGGAGTATTGTGTTGTCTTCTCTCCAGAGGTTTTTGTACAGAGTTGTGGTGTTTCCTGTCACTGTGGCTCAGAGCACAGTAGTACCAGCAGAGTCAGTCAGTGCAGCAGAGGAGATCTCCAGATTTACTCTTTTTTCCGTTTTGTTAATGTAAACTGAGAAATCAGAATCTGTTGGATGAATCGATCCTCCCTCTGTGATGTAGAGCAGGAACTCTGGTCTGGATCTCTGGTTTTGTCTGTACCACTGGATGTTGTTAATAAACCATCATATGTACAGGTCAGGTTGATGTTTCCTCCCTCTTCAACCTTTTCTTCAGTTGTTTCTGGTTTATGCTGTTCATGGAGCCCAGGCTGCAAAATAAGTATTATACATGTCTGTTAGTCTGCAAGAGATTCAGACATCAAGAGACTGAAATCAGTCCTCTACTTCATCAGTCATCTTTGATCATTTGAGATTCATGAAGAAAACAAAAGTCTTTTTTCTATCAGTGGAATTTGTAGCTCCCACAGATAAACATCTACTTTGAAATAGTTGTTCAGATATCTGGTCTAAACAGCAGGTGAAATTAGAGTTTGATGTGTGTTGTAACACTCACCTATAATGTGAGAGCAAAGTAAAAAGAGGTAAAGCAGCATGTCTTTAGTTGTTGAAGACAAACAGACAGCAGATGAGTAATGTTCTTCTAAACTAAACAGCCTCTGTGCTGCACAGATGTTCTCCTCTACTTTGACATGATTTTAATTTGACTTCCTCAAACTTTTCTGCTCTGGAGATACAGACAATCTCATTGGTTTGCCTCAGTGGGCGGGGCCAGATGAACACCTTATTTAGAACTTGAACTCAATCAATCAATCTTTATTTGTATAGCACCAATTCATAACAAATGTTATCTGAAGACACTTTACAAAAGAGCAGGTAAAAGACCTTACTCATTGTTATATTACAAAGACCCAGTTCTCTGTCATAAGGTCCTCTGCAGTCAGTAGGAGGAGACTCATATCAAATCATTTCATTTCTAAAGAGTTTTATCACAACTGTATCATGAGGGAAAATAATCTAACCTGTATCAACACATACTACTAAAGTTGATCAGTGTGTGATTCCCTCTAGTGGATGTTGTGGAGTATTGTGTTGTCTTCTCTCCAGAGGTTTTTGTACAGAGTTGTGGTGTTTCCTGTCACTGTGGGCTTCAGAGCACAGTAGTACACAGCAGAGTCAGTCAGCTGAAGTTTCTGGATCTTCAGAGGAACTGATGTCCCGTTGATTGCAGCATTAAATCTGTCTGTCTGGAACTCAGAAGCCTTTTCTGCGTTGTCTGAGTAAGATTTCAACATGTATCTCGGAAAATCATTACATTTCTGTCGATACCAGAACAGAGTGGGGCTTGTTCTAGTGGTCTCAAATGTACAATCAAGTGTGACTGTGTCTCCTTCAGAAGCAAAGACATCTTCTGTTGGCTGGATCACTCTGTCTTCTCCTTTACACTCTGATAAGAGAACAGAAAGAAGATATTTATTGTTTAATGATTCAATAAATGAATATTTAGGATTCTAGTTAACTTGCCTGAGAATCAGAAACATAAACATGTACATGAACAGCGTCCAGACGACCCTCGGAAGCTTGGACCATTGGCACCCATTCCCCCCCAACCACTGCAGAACTTGCTGAGAAACAACTCAGACAAGGTCTTGGTATGTAATTCATAAAAATGTGACTAACTGAAGAGTATTAGATGTGAATATTTGAATTAAATTTATAATAATTTACTTACAATTTGATATTTTTGGTCCCCATTTGCAGATCCAGCACAGCCAGACAACAAGAGCTGCTGTGAAAGCACATGGCCTCCTTTTGTACGAACATTCATCTGCAGTTTCTGGCTACAAGTACAGCTGCTGTAATATAGGAGGACCGCATGCTGTGGTAAAACCAGCAATTTGCTCCCCGCATCAAAACAAAAGTGCCTTTTTCTACGACCCTCGAACCAATCACTTCAAACGCACCTTTTTTTTTAATGCACTATGACTTTATGGACTTTGTCAAACAAATATCCATTTTGCACCAATCGTGCTGTTTTATCACAGGCTGCTAAGTTCAATAATATCAGCATGGTCTATTTTTTGTACGAACACATTTAGCATTTTTTGTGTAAATGTTCAGAGCATTATTGCAATAAATAAATACTTATCAACAGCTTTTTAATTGTTTTTTTCTGTAAATTGGTTGGCTTATTTAGTCTGTATCTGTAAATGATGATCTTTTATTTTTAGAAGACTGCTTCGAATGTTTTTAATCTTTGTCCCCCCAAAAATTGAACTCAATTACAGTATGATAGTCACATGCTGTAATGACTATACTTGTCT